CTTCTTTAACATTTACCCCAACACAACTCCATATTCCTTTCATTCATATTTGGGTCCCTTCTCCTTCTTGGAATTTGGGGTTGAAGCTTTTCCCAATCGGCTCCAATCCTGTGAGGCTTGGAGAGCAGATTGGTTCTCCGAACGCCGTCAGTCAGACGCAGCTGATTCATCCAGTGGAAACGCCGGTATTCTGGAGCTCTCCTTTGTGCTCATCCTTCAGTACTCACAATCTCGTATATATTCTAATCTTCATATGAATGCTGTGGCCTCATTTGACACATAACCATAAATAAAGATAATCCTCCTTTATTATGAGTTCCTGGCCAACTCTCAGGGGTGTAAATTACAGGTATTAAACTCTGCATGTACAGCAGTCTTGTTGTCTTGGTTTTTCAATTTATGAATGTTTATGAGCAGGCAGCCTGTAACGCTTGATTAGCATCATGCCTGTGTTGTACCATGAAACTCGCGTGTGATGTTTGCAGTCATGGTAACATGTAACAGATACTTACATGTAACAGATATCCCCGACCCTGGGATTTGAACCAGCAACCTTCAGATCACAGGCACTGCATCCAAACCCACTGTAACACTGAAGCTGTATTCCAGGGGTCTCCAACTCCGGTCCTGGATAGCTACCGTCCAGTAGGGTTTCTATCATACCCGGCCTCTGATGAGCCACACCTGTTCTCGGGTAAATACCAGGAACAGATGTGACTCAACAGAAGCCAAGTGGGACAGAAAACCTACTGGATAGTAGCTCTCCAGGACCGGAGTTGGAGACCCCTGCTGTTTTCTGTCTTCATATAACAGAAGGCAGATGAGTTCCCTGCTCGTGTCATTAAATACCCGTAACATTCACTGTTTGTCAACTCCGACCCCCTGACTAATCGAAAAGTCTGCTTTTCATGTCACCTACTGAGTCGGCTCTGCTTTACTGAACTCCATGTCAGAAAAACTGTCTATGTCAGGCACCATTCAGAGGGATAGAGGCTCGTGTTTTGCAAGTGCACGCCCTCATAAGTGTGAAAATGCTGATGGAAGAATATGTAACGGAAAATGGGCTCACCTGAACTTTGAGCAGTTGTCCAGAGCTTTTGCATTCTTCTCTTCTGGCTGGGCTCACTTTTTTTTTGACTTTAAGGACTGTGCTTGGCTACAGCTGTTTCTGCAGATGAGGATGTTTTATTGGTCCAGCTTTGATGGAGACTTCAGGGGAGCAAGTTTCTGGAGTAACTGTGATACTTCTACTGGTTTCTTTTTTTCCCCTAAATGAACAATTATACACAAGCTAATAACAGCAGGAAAGCCACTGACTGATTTTAAAAACAGAAACTTGACAGGTTCTTAAAATTGTGTATCAGTCAGTCCATCTTAAATCTTCATTCATCTCTACTGCAGTTTTGGATCGCAGGCGAACCTGGAGTCTGGCCTAGAAGGTGCGGGGTCTGACCCAGGAAGGTTACTTCAGTTAATCAATTTACAAATATGGCTTTGGAAAATTGGTTCATGTGACAGTCAGGATAGGGATTGACATTTATTAGACCATGGGGTTTCCCATTCAGAAGATACAGGGACATTGCGAAGAAAGGCAGAAAACATGAGTCCCTTTCAGTGGATTAGAAAATGGAAAATCACAAACTTGGGCCTGGGAGTCGGGGAATCACATTGGATCACATGAGCGTCAGATTTGGGTAGAAACTGTAGTCAAGGTTACGGGAAACCGAAAGGAATACAGCAGTTCAAGCAGGAAGAGGAACGCGCTCGACCAATTACAATGCAAAGGCCTGATCACCTGACCTTTGCTCATGACATGGCCATGCCCTGTCCTCATGATCGTATAATTAATGCTTATCCACTCGATGTTTACTCTCTGTAGTATGTTTTACGGTTTTCCAAGTTGTAATAGTGAGCACATTCAGAGCACTATAATACCAAGGTTGTCGAGTTTGGTCAGCTGACTGGCATGAGATTTTCAATGTATTTACATGTATGTAAGAGTTTTATTACCTTGTAAATAGTTTGTAGGGTTTTCAAACTGTCCTAATGCATTTGATGTAGCTGATTCTATGTTTATAATTGAATAATCTAGATTTGCAGTAAGATTTCTTATGTAACCATGAGAGTCAGATGTGTGACAGTTGGCAATCCTGTAGTACAAGCGCAAACACACTCAACACAATCTTGTAGTTCAGAAGTGCAGAAATAAACCTCTGAACGTTGCAGTCATGCAGTGTTTTTTTTCCTGAGACTGGTGCTGAAGTCCTGCCAGGAGTTATCAAAGATTAACTGTGTTTGAAAGTGGAAGAGACCCCCTTTATCAGAGCATCTGCACTCGCTTGTTTGTGTTTCTCTGTTTTTTTTCCCCCTCTTGTTCCTTTTTCTCTGTGGGATGATGATGTTGGATGACCTTGATGTTCCTCAAAAACTTGCCCGACAGAGCCAAACCAGGCTTCTGCTGACAATGGGTGATTGAAATTGTTTTTAAAATACGAGACGGGTCAACAGGTTTGACGGCATTAAAAATCTGCACCACTACCTTCACACATGTTACTTGGAAATTCTACCTGATTTTCACAGGCTTAACCTATGTATTTTATAAATTCTGGTTTGGAAAAATATTCTTCTCCGTTTACTGCTCTCATCTTCTCTACAATTTGCAGACATGCACTTTAATGAGCATTTAAAGGTCGTATATATGATCTTATAAGACATCAAAGCCCTGCTCTTTTACTTTGAAACACAAAAGCATAAATCACTCCTTGTAAAAGCTGAATGACTTTATGTATTTATACATCATACATGAGTAGCCTTTGTTTTGCATTATTACAAGTGCTAGTTTTAAAGATACATTTAACCCTTATCCACAATGAACTGGCTTCCCATCCAGCATATAATGAACGGTACAGAGAAACTCGCACCTACACTCAATAATCTCATTCATATGACTGATATATGGGGATTTATGAGATAAGGATACTTCTGGCTTATTTTTCAGCATCCATGGATTTATCATACATTTAGCATATGGATATGTTCAATAACAGGGTATTTCTGAAATGACTTTAGGTAAGGTATACATTAGACTGAGTGCCAGGATGATGGACAGAGTTGCACACAATGCACATTTTTCATT